CCACTGAAAACTAAAAATAAATAATAAAAAAAATTTAAAAATTAAAAAATAAATGAGTCATTAGCCAAGAAAAGAGTGGGCCCCTCTTCCTCATGTCCCTCACCCCCCCCCCCCCCCCCCAAAATTCAGCTTTTGATTTTCAGCAACATGTTTAGAACCACACCTCAGGCCATCAATTCTTCATTGTGAGGCCTCTTGTCAACTCAAAGTCAAACTCCTTCAGACTTCAAAACTCTTAGAAAAGAAAAAAAATTGAGAGTAAAAGAAGAGAGGGATGGAGGGAGGTAGACAGGCAGGAGAACAGGAGAGAAAAAAGAAAAGGCAGAGAATTACTTGTTTCAAAACAGTGCAATTTGTAGCCAGGAGTGGTGGTGCTCACCTGTAATCCCAGCAGCTGGGGAGGCTGAGGCAAGAGGATCACAAGTTCAAAGCCAGCCTCAGCTATTTAGTGAGGTCCTAAACAACTTAGTGAGACTTGTCTCAAAATAAAAAAACTAAAATATGTGGCTCAGTGGTTAAGCAACTCTGGACAATCCCAGGTGCAGTTTGTATATGCTTTTAATCCCACACAGACATGCACAATCAGTCTATAGGGCTAAAGAGCAATAATCCATAATCAATAAGGTAAACAAAAGCAAATTCAACACATTTCAGACTTTTTACCTTACAGCCTCACTGTTTGCTGGGATGGCATATTTCCAAGCAGATGATTCCCTGATGTCTCTCAATATTACTTTTAATTTAGTAAATTTCAAGTGCTAAGAACCTGCCAATTTTTTGTAAGTAGAAAAATCCTTTTATCTGAAAAAGAGATTACCTCGTAAACTAAAGCTGAACTTAAAGTTATATTTATATTTAAATTTCAGCATTACTTGCTACCATATGCTAAATTAAAACTCTTCACTCATTAAAATACAGTAATTGCACCAGGCTCAGTGGCCCAAGCCTATAATCCTAGTGATTTGGGAGATTGAAGCAGGAAGGTGGCAAATTTGAGACCAGTCTCAGCAATTTAGTGTTGACCGTATCTCAAAATAAAAAATATAAAAGACTGGGGATGTAGCTGGGTGGTAGAGCATCCCTGAGTTCATTCTCTGGTACAGCAAAATCAATTAATTAATTGATTGACTGATTATATACCATCATTATCCCCCCCCCCAATAATCCAGGCCTAATCTGAGGGAGGGGTTCGTTGTAATCTATTTCCAATTGCAAGACTCAAAATTTAAGGTGAGGCAGTGGAGGAAGGAGTGTGGATGAAGTAGCTTCACCTGGGAAAGCCCTCAGGATGACATAGTTGGTAGGTTGGCCGTAGGTGTCACCCCACCAGGGACCCCTTTCCGGGATGTGATCTCCTAAGGCTGGAGATCCGAGAGCATGTTTCCTAGGCTTAATCTTTTTTATTGTTGTTTTGGGTTGGTGTTGGTTTTGAGGTGCCAGGCATCTAACCAAGGCCTGCACATTGTTTGTGGGCGTCATCTTACACTGAGGCGATTTGATGAAAGACTCAGCTGGTGTCTCCAGTGGTATTTGGAGGCGCGTGGCCTCTTGGTAGATGGGCAGTTTTCAGTACAAGAGGAAAATGCAGGACCTAATGAGGTTTGCTGGGGCACTCGTTTTTCCAAGGTTCCAGGTTTTTTAAAAGTCGTTTTAAAATTGTCTTCAATGGGGTGCAGTGGAGGGACCAGGAACCTCCTCCACAGCCTGGGGGCCTGGACTTCGCTCCTAGGTGCGGGAGAGGGCAGCCTCTCACTGAAGGAGGCAAAGAGGAAGCGCAGTCCTCTGGTTGCGAGCCTCATTCTCCACTTCAAGCAGGTGTGGGTTTTCCAGGCTCACTTGGTTTGTCCTGAACTTGAGGACCTGAGGGTCCCAGGAGCAAGACCACTTCAAGCAGGTGTGGGTTTTCCAGGCTCACTTGGTTTGTCCCGAACTTGAGGACCTGAGGGTCCCAGGAGCGAGAAAAAGAAGGCCATAGTTTGGGATCAGCTCTGATGTTTCTGGTCCCAATTTCACAGACTAGGTGTCACAGTGGCGCCCCCTAGTGATCAGTAGCCAGAGGAACACCCCCCAGAAAGTCAGTCTAATCCAGAATGGTTGGAAATGGGACACGCAGCAAGAAAGACATCAAAAGAAGTCTCCTCCTCCTCCTCCTCCTACCCCTCCCCCCCCCCCCCCACCGCACACAGCCCGCGCCAGGCACTCTGTG